GGACGCCGGAACTGGGGGCAGGGGGGGGGGCGGCTGCCCCCCTTGCCTTTTGCTAGGGGGGGGGCAGGGGGGGCAGAAGTGCCCTTTTAGTTGTAAAATAATACGTGATAAATCACATTTCCAACGATGCTTTTTGTAGGAAAATCACGAGATTCAGGTAATTTATAGTTTATATTTATAAAAATTTTGGGAAATTTTTGAAATTTAGAAAAATATTTTGAAGAAATGGGGAAAATTTAAGATATCCGGAAAAATTTTTGGCTTCACGGAAAATTTTTGTATGTCCGGAGGGGAGGTCGCCAAAAAATTTTGCAGTTAAAAAAAATTTTTGCCCTTGGTGTGCGTCCGCCCCCCTTTGCCCTATTATCGTTCCGGCGTCCCTGCAAATTTGTAAGGATTGACACACAATAAAATCTACTTTATGATATGCATTGTTCTTTAAAATGAGTTTGAATTACCATATAGTTATAATAAAGCCATCAGTACACCATCAGACAAAAATCTGACTGTAGTTTATAAAGTTGTTGTGAAATAGTATTGTATCATTTGTACGAATGGTATTGATATTTTGAAACTGAAACGGCCTTTTGGAATTCGTGTGACCAGGTTCCAAGCTTTCACCTCGGGTTGAGAGATTAGGCGTTGAACATGCAAGAAGTCCATTATGGAGGTACGAATCTGGAAAATATGCATAATCGGAAAGAAACCCAGAGGAATCCTTTCCCCTTGGATAGAAAGAACAGTAGTAGGCGCATACTCGTCATTGACGATGGAAACAGCAATGGACAGCACCAGACTTGCCGTACCGTACGTAAAAGGGATCGGTATGTACCTGGATCTCTGTCAAAGGTGATTTGGTCTTATCTTTCAATTCTGAATGGACCAGTCACACTGGTTCACCCAGAAACTGAACTGAAGAAAAGGATAACCAAAATCGTTGACTAAATGGGACGTTTTGGCCAGGCAATACTGATTCCCAAAAATGAACAGAAAATAGATCGACTACCGGACAGTTTTTCGAATATTCAAGATGTCGATTTCCGGACCATATTCCTATGATCATTATAACCTGATGGCTGTGAACAAGACGACCAGATGCTCTCAAGTAGCAAAAACTCACTCAAACTCATTTGAGCCAACTCGCATGAAACTGAAACAGATGTTTGTACATATCATGACATTCTATAGCGTATGTATTATGACAATGCCCACCCTCTAATTTCGACAAAATCACACGATTTGCTCAACACGAAGCCTTCGTACACCATCAAACAACCCCATCGCATCCTAAACGGAGAAGTGGCGGGAAATTGTGTATTATTGAACCACATGACGAAAAATAATGGAGACACATTCTCACCGCAATTCTAATGTAAGATTTATAAGAATTACAATGGCACAAACGAAAACATATGTTCATTATCCATTCGAAACAGCGTTTCTAGGGCCATTCCAACCCCCTCAAAAGGGAAATGGTCTGCTCGTTAGTGACTGTGACCTGGTCTTATAGCGGCAAGAAACTGTGATTGACATGGTGCTCCTAGCCCCACCAAATAGAGGGTGTGCCATGGCAATCTAAGTAAATCTAAAGCATCATATTTAATTATCAATACTTGGGCCACTGCTGTTTCTATTATATATAAATGATATTCAAAACTGCAGTGAAATAGTTTCTATTATTCTATTTGCAGATGATACTAATTATCACTTATTTACTGAGACCGAGGGAAACAGTGTGTTTTGTGGACCCGAGACCGTCGATGTTTCCCGAGGCGAAGCCGAGGGAAACATCGACGGTCGAGGGTCCACAAAACACACTGCTTTCCCGAGGTCTCAGTAAATAAGTGTTTTATTATATATCAATAGTCAAAGAAACAACAAATTAAAGAACAAATGAACGTAAATACATGAAGTATTTTATTGTTAAAACGTTATATTAAACACTGGCTACACTGCAGTTACTTAAAGCGAAAGTTTTAATTACGTACTAGGCATGTCCAAAGGTCGCATCTTCACGTGATGGCGCACGTGATTTTTTTTGTTATTCGCCGGTCGATAACGTATTATCTCCCTCTCGCGCTGTTGCGAGAGAGACAGCCTAATTTCGTCACTCTCACGTGATATGTTCTCAATCAATAAAACACTAGAAAAATGCGACTTTGACTATTGATATATAATTATAATGTATTTTATAGTCATACCTGTCTAAAAACACTTACTGAAGTAATGCAAATAGAAATCAATAAAATATCGGATTGGCTGAATATAAATAAATTATCTATAAACACGGCGAAAACTAAATTTATGTTATTTAGATCATCGAAGAAAAAACAAAAACATAATGTAACTATTTCTATAAATGAAAAAATAATTAAGCAAGTTAAAGACACCACATTTCTAGGCGTTGTTATTGACGAGTGCTTAACCTGGAAAGAACATTTTAATTTAATCTCTAAAAAAATTATAAAAGCATCAAGTATCATTTCCAGAATACGTCATTTTACTAATCTTAATACTCTGAACCTAGTTTATTATGCACTGGTCTATCCATATCTGATTTATGGGAACCTAATCTGGGGTAATACGTATAAAACTAGAATTCAAAAGATAATGAATATACAAAAGAAAATTATGCGCATAATGACTTTTAGGTCATACTCTGAACACACTGAAACTATTTTCAAACATTTAGAAATACTAAACATTTTTCAAGTGAATGACTTTTTAACCAGTTTATTCATGTTTCGATATTTTAACTTAAAAAATTTACCCGAAGCATTCACCAACTATTTCACACTTAATAATGATGTTCATCAACACAATACAAGGAAAAAATCACAGCTTCATAAATCTTATAAAAGAACCAATTATGTAAAACATACTCTTTCAAACAAGGGAGTTGATATTTGGAATGGTTTAGAAAAAAAATATAAAAATATTAGATGCCTTCAATCTTTTAAAAAAATAATTAAAAAGCACCTCTTACAAAACTGCAGTACTTAATCTTAGACTTAATAGACTAAACTCCAATTTCATGTATTTTGAACTTTTTGAAGTTTCTATACGTATACATTGCAACTATATATATGTATACATATGCATGTATATACGTGTGTGTATATGTGTATATTATATATATATATATATATATATATATATATATATATATATATATATATATATATATATATATATATATATATATATATATATATATATATATATATATATATATATATATATATATATATATATGTTAACATGTACTAGGTAGTGGTTATACATGTAATTTACGTTGCTACTATGTATAATCAATTGAACAATCAACTTTGTATATAAGATTATAGACTATAGTTATTAATTGTTTTGTTTGGAAAGTTTTGAACTGCCAAAAACTATAAATAGTTAATCCTAATCTAGGGGCCTTAATAAAAAGCCTGTCAAGGTTTCTAGTAGGCTCCTAGCCCTTATAATAATATAATATTGTAAATAGCTTAATATATATTTTACATCTTTTTGGGGGGCAAATTAAAATAAATAAAAATAAATAATTAATTGTTCCAATCCGACAAAGGATGCATACAACAACAATCATCGGAAAATATTTAAATTAAATTAATTAATTAAACAACTTTTTATTGGTGTTAAATCATTGCGGTTTTTATAGCATACAGAGAAGTGGGAGGTTAATGATAAACTAAACTAAGTATTACCACCAGCAGCATTTATGAGCTGCATGGCCAGGCAAAGAACGACTGGCTGCAGCACGGATTAATGACCTATATATGATTGCATAGCAGCTGGCGAGAAGACAGATAATTATATAAAAATGGAAACGGACTCAATAATTGTTTTCTAACGTTATTACTTGACATTAGGGTCTGATGCATGCATGTACTCTGAGAATAGATCGTACTTGGCAACGGAAACTTCCATTTTGCGGGCTGCCAATAAAAACTACATAATTTACTACTTATTTACAATGGATTATATTGTCGGCCTCGATTTCCAGCTCCAGCTGTTGTTTCATGCATGCGCACTCGACCAAATGCGGGAAGTGTTTATTGTTATGAAATTCATTCATGCTATCATTTGAATACGGCTATCAAAATGGTTTGCCATGCAGTATTTTCATTATTTGACCGGATGTTAAATCCCAGGCATGCATTATTCGCCTATTAAATTAAATTCATTTATTAATTCGTTTTATTGATTCAATGTGTAGTAACCTTCAAAAACTCATTACTAATTCATGAGGAAAACACGAAGAAAAATCGTAAGTGTGTCGTATCTCTATATGTGATAGAGATTTCCCTTGATTTACATAAACTTTAATTTTGATTTTCTCGATTTACACAACGCAACGTTGAAAATTACTTCGCCAATGAAATTACCATAGATCGATCGTTTTTGAAGCAACTTAAAACATTTGCAGTGCGTGGTTTATAGTCAGACCTAAAGATACTCTGCTTCGCCTCGTGTTTTAAATAGTACATTAGCACATGTCAGTGATGTGTTTGCCCCAGATAGCCGTGGAATTAATATCACGTATTTATAGGTAATACGTCAAATTCAAAGTCTTCAATCAGATAGCCCGCGAACAGGCTCTCTTTGAACTCTCTAATTCAATTCAAAGAGCCCGCAGGCTACCAATCAGAAAGCTAATTAGTTTGTGCCACCTGAGCATGAAATTTATCATCGAATCGCGCCTTACTGCGTCATTGTATTTGACGTAA